CAAACCCCAAACCCTAAAGCCATATTCTAAACCCTAAACCCTAAACCCCAACCCCTAAAGCCATAGTCTCTGTCCTATCCGGAAGTCTGACGCTGGCAGATCCGCAGGTCACGACAAGTCAAGGCAGCCCTACTTGGAGGTTTATGGGTATAAGTAGAGTTATAAGTAGGGTAACTATAGTTATAAACAATATTAGGGGACTTATAAGTCCACTCATAACTACCCATGAACCTCCAAGTAAGCCTTCGAATCAGGCAGGCAAGGCTTGATTTTTAGGGGTTTAGGGGGTTTAGGGGTTGAGGGGTTTTAGGGCTTTAGGGGTTTAGGGGTTTAGGGGTTTAGGGGTTTAGGGTTTTAGGGGTTTAGGGTTTAGGATTTTGCTGAATTCTACCATGTCTTAAGGACTCCCATCCCACACCTTCCCACAATCCCGTAATCAAAAGGAATCTACCTTAAATCCTGTTGGGGACCTAGTCCTATTAGGGATCCTACAATAGATCTGTTCCATATAAACTGAGGGTTACATCCTATTTGGGAACCTACCATATTTTAAGATATCTTCCAACCCCAGACCGTGACCCCTAAACCCCTAAACCCTGAACCCTAAACCCAAATTTATACTTATAATTAAGGGATCCTGAGAAGGTCTGGGGTCCTTGTGATAGCGAACTCCGATTTGCAGAGGCACCTTGGAAGGCAGTCGAACCTGGAACATGTGGCCTGAAATTGCAAACCGTACATCCCAAACCCATCCCAGATCCCGAAGTTCGCAGTATCTCTGAACCCTAATTTAGCCTATAAAACCTCAGGCCGGGTGTATAGGGCTATAGGGTTTGAAGCATCTCTGATGTGATCCACCGCATCGTGCCTGCATTCTCCACTGCTTCCTCCTCCTTCGCAGGCTTCTTCCTGACCCAGAGTCCAGGGAGCCCAATGTTTCTGAAACGTTACAAGCCCCTTGTACTTCAAGGTATATTCCTTAACAAAATCTCTCTGTGTCCCTTGCTCTCCTCCGTCGCATTTCTGCAGATCATGTTCACCTATAGCCCACAGAACCTGCTTCTTCATGTTTCTCACTATTGTGGTTTCTGTATATAGTGCCTCAAAAAGGGTAGTTGTTTTGGGGCTACCGGTGGCTCAGGACCTCTTCGCACGGTCGCCTTTTTTTTACGAAGCCATCCGTCCGAAAGGCATCGCCGTCTGCAGGTACAGTCCTTCTGCTTGCCAACAATTCTGGCGCATTGCCTCAATCGGAACAGCCTCGGACCCTCTGCATTTCAAGTTACACCACAGTTTGGGCTTGGGGTTTATAGTGCTTCGGGTTTGGGGTTAGAGATCAAACTACCGCACTTTCAAACTCTATGTCCTACCGTCCGCTCCATCCCGCAGCCCTTGGCAACAAGCCCGAAGCCATCCAAGACTAAGGAGTGTCCGCACTGCCAGTCCGCAAGCAGCTGCCTGCAAAAAACAGATTATTGTTATCACAACAATTCTAGTGTTTCTAGAAGATGGTGATGATGATAATGATGATGATCATGATCATGATGAGAATAAGTATTACAATAGTACTATTATAATGCTGTTAGAATCCGTTAGATGGAAAAAGTTAATATCCCATTCTATAGCAATGAACAGTCCAGGAACGAGGCTAAGCTCGCGGCTGTCGTGTGCAGAAGACCTAGACGAAACCTAAGTTTGAGCCTGCTGGGATCCCCGATGGCTTCTTAGCGTGCAGAGCTCTTCTCACACAAACTGTTCGGGCTGCGAAATCCTGAAATACCTAGCCCTTGCAGTGTGTGCTGCAATATTTAAGCCCTCATGACAAAGAGTTCTGAAGCCCTGCGACTTGGAATCCGTAAAGCCCCAAGCTCGAGATGAAAAGTTCTTTCGCTTGTGAAGACTTGCTCGTTTTCATCGAGGTCTTGTAGCACACGGCTCACACACACGTAATTACTGCAAGAGTAGAGATTCCAGGCTGCGGTGCTAGCGCAGGGGGACCTCGACGAAAAGCAAGCACGACAATCGCCCCTTGCCCGCGCACAGTGCCTGTCAGTCCCAGACATAAAACCTGGACCTTCAGCCATACACTTCCAATCAGGGTTTAGGGTTTAGGGTGTGTTCAGAGGCAGATCAAAGAATTTTTAAAACTCCTTGCAAGCAGCTAGACTTGCATAGACCCTGAGGCCGAAGGCACCATGACTGGCATGCTCGGGAACTTGACCAAGCACCAGGGAGCCACGAGCACGGCTCACGAGGAAAAGCCTCCGCTGACCGTGAAGCTTTCAGGGTGTCCAGCTTGTGACATTGCATGCGCTGAAGGCGCTCTGCGGAGCTGCCTCTAAAAGCTCAGCCGCATGCGAAAGCCACTCGTTGGAAATTCGGTTCTGAGCATTCAGGAGGCCAGCCCCCAAAAAACCCTAAGACCTAAACCCTCCAAACCTACAAGCCCAGTACACCTTACGAACCTCCAGCCCAGAACGGTGAAAGGGTTTCCTTGTCTGGGGAGAACCTCATCCGCTTCTGCCGAGATCTGAATAGAAGGGTAATAGCACCAAGCCGGTAGCTTTACTGGCGCAGAAGCAGCAGGACATCTGCAAGGTCCTCCCAGCAAAACGAGGCCGATACGGCCAAAATCTATTTCGTGTTATCATGACGAAGCCTGGGCTTACTTGGAGAGTAAAAACTTTGGTATACACGTTAGGGCTGGTGGTGTAGCCACTCAAAGCACGCAAGAACCAAAGGACACCGGGACTTTGCAAAGCACCGGTCTTGACGGCCGGAGGGCTCAGGAAGCACAGGCCTCTGCGGTGTAAGAAATGCGAGACGGCACGTATCCCTCAAGGGCACGCGATGCTCACGCTGTGTTGCTGCCTTGATCCAAGCATGCCATTCAATCGGCCGGGAGGCCCGGCCTGAGAACATACCCTGCACGCCAGATCTGAGCAGCTGGTTGCCCCAAAATCGAAACTCTCGGCCTGCAACCGAACTTTGAATCCAAGAAAAGCTACAGCCTTAGCCCCCAGTTCGCTGCGTTGGATCCGGTCATGAGGCGGGTTCCGTTCTCCCTATTCACAAACGGCTCACTTCGAGAAGCTTCAAGCACGCCCTAGATCCCAAAAGCCTTAAACCCCGAGGAGAAACAAACTTAGAATTAAACCGTTACCTCAACACCGTTCTCGAAGTCGCCAATCATACATGCAAGTAGAGCTCTCGACGGTTCGCTCGTCGCCCTTGCATCACAGCTGCACACAAACATGCCTGAGACATGACAGAACCCACTCTAGGGCATATATATATATATGCTACCCCGCCCTCTCAAGGATCTACCGTTTTCGTGTGT